TTATACATTGTTGGATTCAATATGTTAATATTTTGTTGAGGATTTTTGCATCTGTGTTCTTTTTTTTTTTTTTAGCTCTTAAAAGATAACATTTTTAGCTTGGGGCCATACAAAACAAGAATCAGGCCAAACTTGGCTCATAAGCTATAATTTTCCAACCCCATTCCTAGTGATTATATTATGCATCTTTGAATTATCAAAGTGTAATATTCATTGATACTTTAGCCTTTTCCCATACAGTACAGGGCTCTATAACACTTGGAATTCTATCTTTACTGACATAGATGCTATTTCTTTATATATTATAAGACTGTATATGTTAAAAAACCCTAAGGTATTATTTTAAGCAGTTGGTATTCAGTTAGAATAATGTACATATTTCCAGTTTTTATTTATCTTTATTTTTGTATTGTCCAGTTCACATCTAAGGTAATTTCCCTTGGGTACGGAGGACTCCTTTACTGTTTCTTTTGCTGTACATCTTTTGCGGTGAATTTGTTTCATTTGTCTGAAAATGTCTTTAAAGATTTTTCCTCTTTTGCTATATTTATAGAATGTCAGTTTGGCAGTTATTTTCTTTCAGCACTATAAAGGTAGCATGTTTTCTGGCTTTCATTGTTGAAGTCAGTTCTGTCTATTGCTTCTTTTTAAGACACTTTGTCTCTTTTCTAGGTTGATCTTAAGATTTTCCCTTTTTCTTTTGGAATATCTTAAAGTGATTTTCTTAGGTGTGGATTTCTAAATGTGATGTGCATGGAATTCTTTTTATTTATATGTGTGGGGTTTATAGAACATTTTAGGGGGAGGTTCTTAACTACTTAAATATTTATCTATTTATTTTCCAGGTATTGCTTCTCCTTTACTTTTGGAACTCCACTGACATATCTGTTAGAATGACATTTTAACTTTATTTTCTGTATTTTCTTTTTTGTATTTTTCATTCTTATTTCTCTTCCTACTTTATCTTGAATGTATTCTTTTAACTTCTAATTCCTTCTTGTTTTAAAAATATTTTTTTTTAGGGGTGCCTGGGTGGCTTGGTCAGTTAAGCGTCCAACTTTCGCTTAGGTCATGATCTTGCGGTTCGTGGGTTCGAGCCTCACGTCGGGCTCTGTGCTGACTGCCAGCTCAGAGCCTGGAGCCTGTTTCAGTCTGTGACTCCCTCTCTCTCTGACCCTCCCCTGCTCACGCTGTCTCTCTCTCTCTCTCTCTCTCTCCTAGAAATAAATAAAAAAACATTAAAAAAATTTTTAAAAAAATATTTTTTTAAATAATTTAATGACTTCTAATTCCTCCTTAAAGTATGTCTTATCTTGCTGTTATCTATGCTGTTATGCATATGCATTGATTTTTTTTTACTTTTGGTTATAGAATTTTTCACTTCTAGAGTTTACATTGGTTTCTTTTTATGGTTTTGAGTTCTCTCACAAAATACTCAGCCTTGTTTCCTATTGTCTAAAACACAATAATAATATAAGAAAATTTCTTTTAGAATTGTTGTCTAACAACTCTCATAGTGAGGCTCTTGTGTTATCTATTTAAATACTTTTGCTTCTTGTGACTTTAATTCATGTTCCCTTATCTTCCCATGAACTTGAATTTTAAAATTTCTGGGGCACCCAGATGGCTCAGTCGGTTGAGGTCTGATTTTGGCTCAGGTCATGATCTCACAGTCCGTGAGTTTGAGCCCCGCGTCGGGCTCTGTGCTGACAGCCAGCTCAGCCTGGAGCCTGTTTCAGTCTGTGACTCCCTCTCTCTCTGACCCTCCCCTGTTCATGCTCTCTCTCTCTCTCTCTCTCAGAAATAAATTAAAAAAAAAACATTAAAAAAAATTAAAATTTCTAAGAAATTATGTCACGTTTATTTGTAAAATTGTTTTTTAGAGCAAGTTGCAGCCTATTCTATGATCAGTTACCTGGATTACATTTAGTAACGATAATAAGGGTAAGCCTTTAAAGTCTGTATCCAGAATGAAGGGGATGTTCACCAGGCCTTCTCCTTGTTGTTATAGTGTGTGTCTTTGAATTTGTTGACTGTCAGAAGGCGTTCAGTCTCTTAGCCACCTCTCTGGAACTGGCAAATGCCCCTAGGGCAGAGTGGTTCCAAATTCCAGTCTTATCTTTTTGCATTCACATCTTCCCTTGTTTCCATTTCAGTAAATATTTGTTCTGTTGTTAGTTCTCCAGTAGCTTCAAGCAGATTTTTAAAATATATGTCCATCTTGTTCTAAACAGGAAGTGTGATCTAAATTACCTAGTCCTTTATTACTGGAAGTTAAGCCTATCTTCAGATTTCTTGGTATGAGAAATTGGTAATACACATCCCACATTGTTTAATTAAGCTAATTGGGATTTTTGTTTTTTCCTGTAAGCCTTTATATAATTAGCATGAAATTTAGAAGTTCTTTCTTTGTAAGCTTGAATATAGAATTGTGGAATCACTTTTGAAGTTCAGAGAAAGACTTACATTTTATAAGGCCTTTCTGTCTGCGTTACCAGATATCTTTTTGGAAGACTACCATAACTATTATTTTCCAAGATTTTCATTGATAAATTGATTATTGCTGAACTGGAGGACTCAATATATGTGCAAAACACCCAAAAACAGATACAAAATTCATTCTGACCTTAGTAAGACTTGGCAGATAGGCAGATAGTTTTCTGTGATTATGAAATTAACAGAAGAGAAAAGTCTGTAAAAGACTATTGGCAGATGAAACCCAGGAGTTCATAATTTTGAGTCAAGAAGATACCAGAGGGCAATACAGATATATTTGCAATGGAACTATATGTGGAGATGAGGTTGTGTAAACTAATGATGGGAAACCTCATTAAAATGAAGTTGAGAGGTTCAGCAAGGGGAGCTATCATTCCCTACCAATTGTAGACACAAGAGGAAGACGTGGACTTGACCTTGTACCTGGGTGCTACTTTATTATCCCAGCTGGAAGAAGAAACACTGTTGTTGTTGTTGTTGTTTTTTTAAGGTTAACAAGGTAATGGTTGTGCTGATTGAGAAATGGATATCCTGCAATTAGTGAAGTCCTGAAAACTATTTGTAGTAGGTTTTACTGCCAGAAGGGAAAGATTTAAATCATTAACTTTATTTTCTTAAACTGTCCAGATCTTAGTGAATTTTATTTCCATGGGGACTTAACTTCATTTTATTTTTATTTTTAAAGTCTGTTTATTTTGAGAGAGAGATAATGTACACATGCTTGTGCACCTGGGCAGGTGGGGGAGGGGCAGAGAGTTGGAGAGAGAATCCCAAGCAGCTGAGCATTGTCAGCACAGACCCTGACACAGGGCACTAACCCACAAACCATGAGATCATGACCTGAGCTGGAATCAAGAGTCAGTCACTCCACTGACTGAGCCACCCAGGCTCACCTTAACTTCAGTTTTAAAGTAGAAATAGTGAAGGGCACCTGGGTGGCTCAGTCAGTTAAGTGTGTGACTTTGGCTCAGGTCATGATCTCATAGCTTGTGAGTTTAAGCCCCATGTCAGGCTCTGTGCTGACAGCAGTTTGGAGCCTGCTTCGTGTTCTGTGTCTTTCTCTTCCCCTCCGCTGCTCATACTTTGTCTCTGTCAACAGTAAAACAAAATAAACAATAAACAATAAAAAAATAAAATAAAATAGGAATTAGAATATTTGCTGTCAACTAGAAAAGACAATTATTCATTTTATCTTGGAAATCTGTTTCAGTAGTAGTGGGACTAAAGGGTAGCTCTTGGTTTTTATTCTGTAGTTTAAACTTTTAGCTAATTAAAATTAAAATCTTATAATGCCTTTTGGTGGTATCATTAGAAAGTATGAGATCAGTTTATTGTATGTTTCTCTTAAAAATTAATTAGTATCAAAAAGCAGATTCAAAATTATGTGCCTGTTTTATGATCCAGTTAGTTAATTCCCTGACACATGTATACTTTTGACAGAAAAATATTCTGGCAGCTGCTACAAACAGTGCAGTTTTGCACATTTAACGTGAATAAGAAGTAAAGTTCTCTTGAATAGCTTTTTCCTTTCTATTAAAATGTGATTTGACAGGAAACCAAAGTGACTTCAATTTTAGTTTAAAAGTCTTCTTAGGTAACATGCAGACATCACATTAATTTATCAGAAGTGGTATAATACGAGAGAGACTGAGTAGTTTGACGATTGGTTTGTGTATGCTAAAGATCTTTTCTTGTAGTAAGTAAAGGTATTTCATGATAACCCATGACCAGTGGAGATGCTGTTAGGAAAAGATAAATGAAATGGTCTTGAGAAAGATTAAGGAAGCTAAAGGGGGAAGAATTGTTTTGATGAAAACTTTCATTTTTAATTATTTACAATAAGAATACTCTGTCATCATTTTTTTGCTTCTAGACAAACATTTATTTACTTTCATAATCCTGTATCGGTGCTTTTGGGGATAGCTGAGGTGATTTAGTTTCTGTTCATAGCACAGTGCAAACACATAGGTGATTATCATTTATGTGTGGACTTATTTCTCATCTGAGTCAACAGCATGAGTACAGCTTACCTTGTGTCAAATGAAAGACCCTTTGTAGCATTAATCACAAACATAGTTACTTGTTTAAGGTCATCTTTGTGAACATTATAATTTTATCCAGCCATTAATCAAGTTACATATGGTTTTCCCCTGATTTCACAGTGTGGATTTTGTACTAGGATCCTTCTTTGAAGTTTACCCCAGTAGCTTCAGGAACTGTCTGTGGTTTGTGAATCCAAGAGATCCTAAACTGGAAAAGTTGGTAGTTTTAGTTAGGTCAGTACTTGAAGATGTGACATTGATGGTCATATAAGTTTAGTGTGGAAGTAAAGAAAATTTGTTAAGGTATGATTCAACTTTGTTCTTTTTGTTTTATAAACAATTAAAAAATCTGAAAATTGGGCTTTGTTATAGAAATGATAGTTAAATAACAAGAAATGATAAAAAGAATGTAAAACTGAAGGAGTTTACCTCATCACTAACCAAGTTCATTTCTCTGTGCAGGTATAATTTGACATCCTGAGAGTTTGTCTTAGCAAGAAGGAAGTGGAAAATACTCTTGAAAAGAAAACTAAGACAATAAGGAAGCCAGAACTGACTTTTACATGGTGATCTGCTCACTTACCAGTATGGACACTTTTCCCACCATATTTCCTCCTGGTGGAGACAGTGGACTGACAAATTCTCAATCTGAGTTCCAAAAAATGTTAACTGATGAAAGGTTACGATGTGAACATCATAAAACTAACTATCAGACTCTTAAAGTTGAACACACAAGGTAAATTGCTTAAATTTGGAGGTGAGGGGCTTTATTAACAATTTTTTTTTGGTCTGAATTTGCTCTGGAACATACAGTATAGTTTTGTTAGTTTGTAGTACGTAGATTTAAAACTTCTTTTTAACACAGTAAGATTTTCACTTTAAAATTACTTAATTCAAAACTAAGCATAATCTTAAGTGTGTTATGAATTGATAAAAGTCTTGCTTTGAAAGTAGCAAGACCTAGAAAATTAAATGTTACCTAGGTGGCTAAGTGTGTTTTTCCCCTGGCAAGTAAAATTGTATTTATTTTGAGAGAGAGAGAGTGTGGTGGGGGAGGGCAGAGAGAGAGGAGAGAGAAAGTGGGAGAGAGAGAATCCCAAGCAGGCTCCACACTGTCCGTGCAGAGCATGACATAGAGTTCAAACCTACGAACCCACAAACTGTGAGATTATATCCTGAGCTGAAATCAAGAGTCAAATGCTTAACCAACTGAGCCACCCAGGCACCCCTCAAGTACAATTGTATTTATAAACTACAGTATTAATAATTAAGTGAAACTCTGTAAAGAAAAGATGTTTGTGAATTTAATGGAATAAATGATACTGGTCTTGTTCTATACTGTTGGTTGATTTTACATTATGTAAGGTCATTAGAAACTAAAGGATATCCTTAAAATTAAGTTCTTTTTTTAAAAATCAGGTTGCAAGATGAGTACATAAAGTCACAAAATGAACTTAAGCGCCTATTAAATGAAAAGCAAACTCACCAAGAAAAATTTCAGCTGCTGCTTGAAGAGCTACGAGGGGAATTAATAGAGAAAACTAAAGACTTAGAAGAAATGAAACTGCAGGTAAGAAGATATATTTTAGTTAGCCCCTCAAGGTCCTTAATAGTTGGACTAAGAATCAAATTGACATGAGACAAATTAATAGAAAATCGAATTTAGTTTTGTAAGTATGCAGAATCCATACACATGGAATTCCAATGACAGGCAACAGGATGCTTATATGACATCTTATATACCAGCTAGGGAGACTGGTAAAGTCTGGGGCTACAAGGGGAAAGAAGATCGTTAGCAGTATGGTGAGAGGAGATGTTTGGAAAACAACGATTGAACTGTTAAGTGGATAAATTTCTTATTCACAGAGGAACCTCTGTTAATAGCTCTCCTCTTGGTATAGGCTCCCCTTTCCAGTTCAATTTAGGCAGTTGAGGGAAAAATAAAGAGCTCTTCCTGAATCTGAAGGGTTTTGATTACTTTTAAGCCAAAATAATCTTCACGCCAAACTGGCCCATTGTCCAGGACTCTGGGTCTGGAGTTCTTTCTTGTCCAGCAAAAAAGTGGGACGCAGGATTAAAAATTCGAGAGAGACTAATGTCTGGGAGGAGACAAGATCCCCACGTTAGGGTTCTTGCTCTGTTTTTATTAGGATCAGAAGGCTTACAAACCTTATGAGCGTGCACAAAGAGATAATGAAATCGTGAACACTTAACTCATGGACATGAGGGAAAGGGGGTTTTGAAGATATGTGGTATTAGGGGTTTGGGTTAATACAAAACAAAATCCTGGCAGAAGGTTGTTTACAGAAGACATGAGGCACCACCTCTGTTTACCTAAACTGGTCTAGGGGACCAGAAAGACTAAGCATGCTACCTCAGGGTGAACAAGTCACCTTTCTTTTGCTATTTAGCTCCACTCCCACATTGGTCTGTAGCCCTATTTATCTGTTTACCTTATTTGGTCCTTCCTGTGAAAACAGCTTTCTGCTATTGTGCTAAATTCGGGGATGTTTCAGCCCTGAATACCTAATTTTATTTACCTCATCTTGGATGTTTTCATCCTGAGATTCCCTATTCCTGTACCTTTGTCCTTTAGTGAGGCCTTTGTGTCTCCCCCCCCCTCCCCCACTTTACCTAAACTTGGGTGTGTACATCCTGTGGCTTTCTAATTCCTTATGCCTTGTTAACACATTGGTGCAAGCTCAGGGAATTCCTAAACTTATTCCACACAGCCCGTCTTGGGGAGGCCTGCCCTTTGTCCCTATGGTACAAAAGTAGTCAGATCTTGGTAAATTTGGTGAGTTCTGCCTATCTTCTTAATGAGTATTTTGCTACATTTCCAGGTGGTATAATTTAATATTCTTTCACATATTCTACAGTGTTAGCTACCGCATAGGGTTTAGCCATGAAACTGTTATTTTATGTAAATTTGTATTAAATTACCTGTTCTGATTTAGGTATTTCACTATTTAGAATAATTAGGGGAAAGGCTGGTTTGAATTGATAAATATTCAGAGTTAAAGAGTATTTTTATTTATTTATTTTCTTTTTTATAATTTTTAAAAATGTTTTATTTATTTAAAACATTAATAATGTTTTTATGAGAGAGAGAGAGAGACAGTGTGAGCAGGGGAGGGTCAGAGAGAGAGAGAGACACAGAATTCAAAACAGGCTCCAGGCTCTGAGCTAGCTGTCAGCACAGAGCCCGTCGCGGGGCTCAAACCCATCAACTGTGAGATCATGACCTGAGCCAAAGTTGGACACTTAACCAACTGAGCCACCCAGGCGCCCCTAAAGAGTATTTTTTAAAGTTTTACTAATTTTTCTTTATTATAACTGAAGCTGAGCTAAAAAAAAAAAAAAGACTGATAGGTTTTTTCGAGGTTTTCTTTTTTATTAAAAATTATTTTTATTATTGAGGTATAGTTCACAAGACTGATAGTTATTTTTAAGAGGCCACTTAAAGGACTATGAAAACAATATGGGCACATAATTTATGTGTGCAATGTAAGATAAATGGTGTTTCTAAAGCAAAAGATAGTTGATACTAAAGTACTGATTATAGTTTTGTTTCTCACTTGTCTAGAAAGTTGACCAAGCTAAATTTAACTATAGCACCAGTCAAATTTACCATAAATTTCAAATTAGTAGATATTAGCAGTGATATTTTCCTATATTGATTTAATCTCTAAATGGCACCAACTATGTATCTCTGCTTATCAAGTGCTTGGTACAAATAACAAGGTATTTTTAATACTGGAATTTTAGGTTGATAGAGTAAAAAGCTGTCTTTCATCTAGTATGGGGCATATCACCCAATTCATGGATTTCTTGGACAGCAGTGTTAGAGGTTGGTTATTCAGTATCTTCTTGAAATCTTCCATTGTTGGAAACACCACCACTGAGCTTGGGTTGGAGTCTCTCCTGTTTTTTAAATATTCAGGACATTTAAACAAATAAAAACCTCAGAAATAGGAGTTGAGTAGGGAAATGTAATTTAAGCTATAAAATTGGTGCATTAATTTGTTTTGCAAAAATTCAGAGACCTATGTAAATGAGAATCAGTGAACACTGAACCCAAGGAGTTCAAAGTATTCTTCAGGCATTGCAGAGATCATCACTTTCTTCAGAGTAACATCTAGACATACTTATTTGTACCAAGTACGTGCAAACAATAAACTGAAGACTGGAGTGTTTATATTAATATTGGATAAAATAGACTTCAAGACAAAAAGATGTCACTTAAGATAAAAAGTTTATTTTTATAATAAAAAATGGGTCAGTTCACCAATGAGATGATGACCTTTAATAAACAGTTGTTTTTTATGCCTTTGTTTTGTCATGTGAAGAGGGTAAAAGTTGTTAACAGTTGGCTATGAAGACTAATGAGATAACATGTAGACTTTTAGTACAATGTCTGACACAGTAGAAACTCCTAAATGATGGCCATTTTTATTCTATTTGAATGCAGGTTCCGTAGGGCAGGAGCATTTTTCATGTGTTCCCAGTGCTCAAGTATATTTATATTTGTATTTATATATTTTATAGTAGCAAATATTTGTTGAATGAATGACGAGTAAATAGAACAAATGAGTGAATTGAAAATGTTGTTCTGTTCATATAGAATACAGTGTTCTTCTCTCATATGTACCTAAAGCTTAAGCATCTTAGAGTTGATAATGATCTCATTTTTTCCTGTCATGAGTTAAATTGTGTCCACCAAAAAGGTATGTTGAACTTCTAATGCTCAGTACTTCAGAACGTGACCTTATTTGAAAATAGCCTTTGCAGATGTAATTAGTCAAGATGGGGTCATATTGAAGGATAATGGGTCCTTAATCCAATATGACTGGTGTCCTTAGAAGAAGTAGAGAACAGATGCAAAGACAGAAACACATGGGTGAGGGGCAGGAGGGGAGTAGGGAGAATGTCCTGTAGTGACAGAAGCAGAGATCCAAGTGCTGCGGCTGCCAAGGAATGGCCAGGATCACCAGCACACTGCCAGGAGCTAGAAAGAGGCAAAGAAGGATCCTTCCCTACAGTTTTCAAAGGGAGTGTGGCCTTGCTGACAACTTGATTTTGGACTTCTAGCCTGTAAGACAAATTCTGTTGTTTTAAGATACGTATTTGTGGTATTTTGTTATGGTAGCTCTGGGAAACTAACACACTGTCCAAAGCAGAATTCCTTTTTGGAACATTTGTGACACAGGGATTTTTATTCCCTGCTTCATTGCTTTCAATGCAAGAGAACCCAGTGAATGTTTAAAGTGATCCAGTTCCATTTATGTATTGGAATATGTTAAATATTTCCCCTCTCATACTGAAATGAAATCATCTTCCCTGTTGTCTCTCCCTTGGTTGTTGTACTATTCCTTGGATCTACACAAAGTAACTTAGGACATTTCTCCATAACTTCCCAGATGTTTGCTGACAAATATAATTTATCTGGTAAAGTCTCTCTTTTTCAAAATAAACATAACTGGTTTCTATATGATATGTATCTGGTAAAAATAAGCTAAGTAAAGAGAGATCTCTCTCTCTATTTATATACACATGTTGAAGCAATGTAGCTATTTGCTTTATGGATGTTTGCACTTTGTACAAATTGCCAGTTGAATAAAATCAATTCCACAAAGTAGAATCAGTAAGAAACATTTTAATAAATGTTTATGAAAGATGATTATTTTCAGAATAAACATGTATTATCTTGTCTACCTGCAAAATGCCTTTTCTGAGTGAAGATTTAATATCCCTTTGGCTTTTATAGAAAAATGATATAAAAGACAGTCAATTAAAGAATATTTCGGTGTCACTTGTATAGTTGCAGTGAATGGGAATAGTAATAGTGTCTGACTTTTAGGATGATTGTAAAGATGGAATGAGACAATGCATAGAGAGTGTTAGTACAGTGCTTTGATATAGTTAAGTGGTTAGAACGTGTTAGCTATTGTTATTCTATTGTTATGTACCATGTTAGCCAAACTTTTTTTTAAATATGAGTTGTTATATTTTCTGATACAAATTTTAAAAGTTACTTTACCAAAAATTTATATGCTTTCTTTATGCTGCCAGGCAATTGAAACTATATAACCCAGTATTTTTCCTACTTTATTTGGCTGCTAGGAAGCTCAGCAAAATTTATTATTCAGTTTGTCATTAACTTGTTAAGACTCTCCGGCACAGCAATATTTGCCTTCTTAAATTAAAACGTTCTTTGAAAAATATTGGTCTGTTTTATATCAGCATGACAAGTGTTGGTGTAATATAGATTTAATATAGGTAATGATACATTTTTGTTAAGTTTCTTTTGAGACAAGTGGTGGCAGTATTCCATTAGAAATCTTAAGACAGCATACTTTCCTCCTAAAATAGCACGTGGAAAATCCTCTAACTCTATGTGTGTTTTGATGGGGAGAGGGGAGGATAACAGATTTTTTTTTTTTTAATTTTTTTTTAATGTTTTATTTATTTCTAGGAGAGAGAGAGAGACAGCGTGAGCAGGGGAGGGTCAGAGAGAGAGGGAGTCNGACTTATTTCACTTAGCATAACACTCTCTAGGTCCATCAATGT